GCAGCTAATTTTTTTGGCCCAGGAGGCGATATCGCCCTCCGAGGCGTCTCTGCTGCCGGAGGCCGAACGCTTGGAGTGCGCAGTATTTCAGTTCTCGCCCGAGGGGCGAGTCAGCAATCGGACGGCCCACCTGTCAGATATCACCGCGCGCTCCGAAGATGCGCGGGAGACGGAGAGCGCTGCGGAGATCGGCCTCTCAGCAGAGCAACGCCAGCGCGAAGTGCTGGCCCAGAGATCACCGCGCGCTCCGAAGATGCGCGGGAGACGGAGAGCGCTACGGATATCGCCCTCTCAGCAGAGCAACGCCAGCGCGAAGTGCTGGCCACGGGGGTGGCCCGGGCGCGGGAGATGCTCGACAACTTCGGGGAGCTCGCCAGGGGAGACGCCGAGGTCGTCACCTTCGCAGAAGACAAGGGCACGGCTACCCCACTGGCAGCGCCGCCGCCTTTCCTTGCCGCCGCCTGCGACGCCGGCCATTGCCCCGCAGGCCATTGCCGATCTGCGGGCGGGCCAAGCGCCCCCGACTACTACACCGTTGACATTGCAGGGCTCAACGGTGACCATCCAGAAGACGCCCAGCCAGCTGACGTCGCAGCCCGTGGCCGCGGCCTCTGCGGCCTCGGCCGCGCCCAGGCGCCCGCCGCCCCAGCGCAGCTGGCGTCGGCGGCGCGCGGGGGCGCCGCCGCCGAGTCCTCGAGCGCAGCTGCGCCGCCGGGCTCTCGCCCGCTCCACGCGGGCAAAGGGGGGTCACCACGACGGCGGGCAAGGTCTCACTAGCCGCGACTCGGCTCGACCAGGCAGCTCGCCAACCAGGGCGAGCCAAGCTGCGGCTCGGCCGAGGCCCAGCGGCCGCCGACGCAGCCGATCCACGCGAGGAGCACCCACGCAAGAGCCAGAGCCCTCCCCCAGAAGACAGCGCCGAGGAGGAGGTAGATGGCGCAACGCAGGACGTCGCAGCCCACGAGGGAAATTCCTTGGAGCTACGGCAACATCAGCAGCGGCTGCAGCAGCGCCAGGCACCCCACAGAGTTTTCGCTAACCCGAACGCGCAGATCAGCGAGGTCGGAGCTGCAAGGTCTTTCCGAGCACCTTAATCCCCCTCTGGCCGCGGAAGCACTTGTGTTCTCGGGCAGCTTATTTCTCAACATCCAGGAGAAGTGGGCCCTGCGGGACCCCCCCCTGACCCGAGGATGTCCTCGGGGCCCCATGCCACTCACTTCGGCGGGGCCTCGGGTGCTCAAGTCTTGGGAGCGCCCCCTCAATTATCAGTGCTGGGTCCCAGCCAATTACTGATGCTCCTCCACGATCGAGGCCCTGCCGAGGCTTCCAATTCGGTCCGATGCTCAGGACATCATAGCGGTGCATATCTACACCGATGGGTCAGGTGGTCATCTGGGGTCGAGCCGTCTTGGGCGTTCGCGGTCTTCGTCGGGGGCCCCCAGGGCCGCGCGGCGCCCATCGGCTTCGAGGGGGGCCCACTCGTCTCGGAGATTCACAACTTGGCGCCCCTTGCGGCGGAGCTTCAAGGAGCACAATGGGCTTTAGCGTGGCTCGTCCGGTCCGAGTTCGCTAGTCCTGGGCGCGAGTATCGTCTGCGCGTGTACATCGATGACTCGGAGGCCCTTCGCGTTGCTCAGGGTTTGGCCCCTGCGCCCTCAGAGGCCGACACGAGGATTGCTGCGCTCGACAATCTCGCCAAAGTCACGTAGCATTTCGTTCGGCGGCTAGACTGGATCACGCACCCGGCCACTCGGCGCGCGAATGGAACGAGATGGTTGACGCTATAGCTACCGTGCTATCCCTTAATAATCGAAGCCTTTCCCAGGCCGATTTACAGCTGGCGAGAGTGTTTACACGACCCTCAGGCGCTGCAGTGGATGTGGCTTCACTTGAGACGCCGCAAGCGCAGGCCCAGCACCCGCCATGCCCAGGCGATCCCAGGCCAGCCGTCATGGAGACGCCTTCGGAGAAGGCCAATGTCCTACAGCACCTGCTTCGTTTCTCAGTGGGCGGGGGGCAGCAGAAGGAAGGGCCGAAGGCAGATGCCTTATCGCTGTCAACGCTCTGTCACTCAGTCCGTCATCGGCTAGGCCTAATCGGCGCGCGCGACCTGCCGGGCTGCGCCTCTCGGGCGCCGCGAAGCAATTTAGCGCGGCCTTCAGGCGGCAGCGGTCGTTCGCGGCAGGTGCCGTTGAGACGAGGCCCCAGGCGCATCAGATGTCGCACCATGCCATACTGCACATGCACGAGTGGATGGGTCGAATCGGTTCGGTTGCTTATAATGGACTCGCACTTCATTGGAAGCGTTGCCCGGCGCGCGCATCCAACCCGCACGTTGCTGCGCTCTTGCCGCTGCTCCTCGCCGCCAGCTCGCCGCTATCCGCGCCGAACGGTTCGCCGTGGGCGCGCCTGTGGCCCGCGCCCCGCGCAGCGAGAAGCCGGAAGTAGAAATCAAATCCTGGCGGATGGAAGCCGCCTCGGTCCTTCGAGACCATCGATCCAAGGGGGGGGGCTGATCTGCCTCGTCGATGCGAGCGCGCGCATCGGGTCCACCCTGCCTCAGTTCGCGGGGCCCGTCACGGCCGAGCTGCAAAACGTCCCAAGGAAACGCTCCCACGGCTTCCTAGAGGAGACTGAGCAATGGGCCCCAGCTACTTCGTTGGGGTCTGGTCAGGAGTCGGCGTCTACTCGGCGCCCTCCAAGTTCTCACAAGATCACCGTTGGCCGCCGCATTATTTATAGTTCTTGCTCGTTCTGCGTTTCGAATACTAAGCGCATGGTAATGTCTGAGATTGATTTGACTATCTCTATCTTGGACCATCTCATGGTTGCTGCCAGAGTTTCTACGCCAGTACCCCGCTCAGCGCTAGTCGCGCCAGGCGAGCCCAAGGTTAAGTGCGACCCCGCCAGCTTCGAGGACCGCCGCGGTCCAACGTTTCGCGGAAATGCTCCGAGACTGACCTGCCGCGCCGTTTGCCATCTCGCCTGCTTCACAAAGCCAAGTGCTTAATGATTATCTGTCGCCTGTCTCGACGCGGCATTTCCTGTTCGGTCTCCGGCAAGAGGACGACAGCCAAGACAACCGTGGATATCCCAGGAGACTTTGAAGTCATGGACTCCCGTAACTCGCAACTTCGAAGATATCGTCGCGGCTTCGCCTGCTTGAACCTGCAGCTGGCGCTCGCGTTTCATGTTTGGGCCGACGCGCTTCAGGGCCCGTGGATATGCAATCGCACTGCGCAGCGGAAGTTGTCAGATCGTGAACCAGGCGATTTCTGCGCGCGCTGGGGTCGCAAGCACCAGCATCTCGTGTCTCTATTTAAGCCTGCGCTCCTGGAGCTGCGCTACCTCGACAGCCAGTGCGACGTCATAGGCTCCAGGTACAAGAGGAGCAAGTTCTGCAAGACTTCCACAGGTTACCTGACTTCTCTTCGGCTGTGGGTCAGACTTCATGGCAAGTTTCCAATCCTCCAGGGGTCCGTGCTTCTCCATTGAGGAAATGAAGTGGGTCCGCCCTGGCTATTATGGCATTGCTGTCGATCGGGCTCGCTGGAACCGCGCGGAACTAGGGAATTATACTAGGAAGTTGTACTCGTACTTGGTAGTGTCCTAGGGTGGTTGTGACACGGAGTTGTGCTAGGGAATTGTACAAGTACTAAGGACTAGGAAGTTGCACGAGGGAGTTGTACTTCTCGGGAGTGGTACTAATACCACTTGTACTAGGACATTTGACAAGTGTTTTTTTTTGAGGGAGCTAAACTAGAACATTGTACTAGGAAAATGTATTATGATTCAGGAGTTGTACTCGGAAGTTGTACTCAGGAACTGTACTTGTACAAGAGTTCTACTAGGGGGTGGTACTGAGGTGTTCTACAAATTCTAGGGAGTTGCACTAGGGAATTGTACTACGGATTTGTACTCGTTCTGGGGAGTCGTATGAGGGAATTGTATTAGGGAGTTGTGCGAATACTACAAAACTGTACGGGAAAGCTCTACAAAGGAGTTGGACGAGTACTGTTTGTACTAAAGAGATGTACTAGAAAGTTGCACGATTAATAGGAGTTGGACTACGGAGTTGTACGGTACACTGTACTAGCACACGGGAGTTGCACCGGGGAGCTGCACTAGTGACTTGTCCGAGTAAATCAATTGCACCAACAGTCGGGAATTGTACCAGAGAGTTGTACTAGTACTTCTTGTATTACGGAATTAGTTGTACCAAGGAGTTGTACTAGGGGGTTGTAGCAGGGAGTTGTACTAATGCTAGGGAGTTTGCGCTAAGGAGTTGCAGTAGGGAGTTGTACCAGGGGTGCACAGTTCTACGAATTGTAATATTTTGCCACTTGCACTCTAATACCTGTGCAGCAGGACATTGTGCTCTCTAGGAGCAACTGGGCGCTAGTACATGATAGTGCCAGTTGCACTCAAGTACTAGTTGTACGGTAGTCGCAGGGGCCCATGGGTTTCAACGACACACGCGCGCAGAAGAAAAAACAGAAAATCATGCGCAGCCAGGGGTCCCGGCTTTAGCGGGTCGCCGCGAGGGTTGACACCCCGCGGAAAGAAGAACAGAAATCCGGCCGCGGGGCTTGGGGGGTTCGCGCACGAGCCGCGGGGGCGATGGTCGAGGCTGGTTGGGCTGGCTGGCGTGCTGGCTAGAGGTCTTGGCTCGGGCCGCCGAAGAATCTTCGACGACCCGAGCCAATATCTCTAGATCTTGGAGCTTAGATCTAGGGCTCCCAACTTCGCGCTTCGCGCTGCGCGAAGCGCGAATAACTTCGCGCTCTCGCGCCGCCCTCCCAAAGGGAGAAAAGGAGGACGAGGAGGAGGAGGGAGGAGGGGGAGAAGGAACGAGGACCGCGAAGCGCGAATAACTTCGCGCCCTCGTGGGAGCCCTTGTCTTAGATCTCGGGCGATCGCCGATCCTAGACCTCAGACCTCAGATCTTCGCCCGAGATCTTAGATCTCGGGCGGGCGCCCGCCCCCGGGCGGTCTCCGGCCTCGGCCGCGGGCCGAGCCCGCCGCGCCGCCACCAGTGGCGCAGGGCGAGGGCGAGGAGCGCCAGCGCCAGCGTGCCCTCCAGCAGCAGGGCGCCGC